TATTGTCCAAATCACAACTACATTCCGGTGTTTTTCTCTTCCTAAGAGGTATATTACAAATAGTGTCTTCACGTAATTTAGACAAGTCGGGATGTGATCCAGTTGTTCCAAGGGGTGGGCTTCTTTGTACGCTCATTTTTTTATTATTATTATTGTTGGAGGTAACACGATAAGACACGGGATGTAAGCTTCTTGATCGAAAGCAATGCCCAGTATTCGGATTATACACTCAATTCACCTTTCTCTTCGCAAACAAACTAAATAGACCTTATTATTAAAGTTTCAACACAATTTCTAACTAGATAATTTAGCTTAAGTCAATGGTAATCACTCAAACTTCGGATAAGACCCGACCACGTCCGAACCGAACGAATGTCGACGAATAATGATCTTTATGATTGTTATAAAGAAGAATTTAAATACAGGTTTCAAATATAAATAGTTCATAATTTTTATGCATCATTTTAGTATTGAGCTTTATCTCTTAAAGCTAACTAAAAAAACAACTTCGCGGACTAAAATTAATCATTATAATTATTATTGATGGATGATATAAAAAGTGTAATTTTAGTTAAAGTTAATAATATTCACCCATTTTTATTAGAGAATGTTGCTGAGTTCTTGAAGCATTCTGTTCGCACATTTTTTCAAGTTACACTCTATCTCTGTTGTATATCTTAAAATGAATGGTGTAAATACTGTAAGTCTGTTTTGTGTCGTTATATAATAAATAAATACTAACCAAATTAAGTTTGGGAAACATTTGCATTTAAAAGCTTAATATTTCATAAACGGTATTCTCTAGTTCCGAATTGAACTTTCTGTTGGTGTCATTAATCTGATGAAACCCTAATCATTCCAAATGTAGGTTAATTGTGATGTTATGAAAAAAAACAGAGTAGTAATATGCTTTATTTCAGGGATGTTTTTGACTAATCAATATCGGATCTGGATATGGATACGGTTATATGAATATATATTATTAGTTGCTTAAAATATATATTATTTTTAAGGAATTGTAAAAATGGAAATAACATCTTAAGTTGATTATTTTTATTTTAACCCACACCTTCCGCTATACGGGCGGGTGCACTTACCACTAGCCTTTTCCGCGTGGATTTTTTTCTAGTAAGATTTTCTTTTGATTTACATTTTACTGACGCTAGCCATGTCCAAAATAATTCGAAATTTTTATAATCATATTCATACACGTTTTTGGACATTATTTTTTTCAGATATCTAATATGTAGTGTCATCACAGACCACATTTTGATCGTCCGCTACGGAGCCCCTTAACATTTCTAAACATGTAAAATTATTGATACTTGAATAAGTAATGTCTATGTTTTTTTTATATTTCAAGATCTTATTATATTATACTAAATGTAAAATTGGTCTTTTGCCATTTTTATTAATTTAAATGACCGTGTAGCTACAATTTATTATTATTTGTTTTTAATATTTTAATGGAATATTAATAATAATAAGTGTATAATATTGGCACACAATTTAATCTCGTACTGGATTGAGACATATACTCTTTATTCCGGATTTTTTTTCCTGTGTGATCATAAAAATGAGTTTGAATTAAAAAAAATGTAATAAGAAAGTAACATGTTAGAGAGGCAGCTGATATGGGTAAATAAAAAGAGACCTTTGGTCTTATGAAGTCATTATTTTCAGCACAGATTAAGCTTGTGACAGTACAGAGCCCTAGTGTAATTTAAGTTGTATATCAATACTGGCACAGTGATCAAGACTCCTTCAATTATTTTACTTTATTTCCTAAGAACAGTTTTCATGTTGGCAAGGTTCTAGCAAATTATCCATGTTGGCAAGGGTCTGGCAAAGTTTTTTTTACTTTGGGTCCAAATACGAATACGAAAGTTGCACTTTATGATAGCGTTTTCCAGCTTACACTTGCTTCAAAATAATGTAAGTCACCATTTGTATATGATTAGTTTTGTACGAATGAACACGCTTAGATAAAATTTAAGCATAATCGTGTTTAAAATATCACTCCATCAAAGTCAAATATAGATAGAATGGTTTAAACATGATTTGTTTTAAATTTCATTTAAGATTTTTTAGTACTTACTGTCAACTGTACATAATTAGCTAATAGTTTTTTCTAAATCTGATACCTCAACTATAGACTGTTAGTAGTAAGTGGCATGTCAGTAGTGTTATTGAGCGGTTTTTGTTGTGAATTATTTTATCATAACCGGATAAACTATGAAGTTACTCAGTGACGAATGTGGATATTTGTTTGTTTTATTATTTTGTTATTTATAGTTGAAATGAAATTCAATGTTATTAATTTTCCTTTATTAAAATTAAAATGTTACGGTTTTGATATTAATTACAAAAATTATTTAATTTGTGGTGTTTTTTTTTTCATCTACCTATAGTGCAGACATTCACACATGAAGTGACCAGATACTGTCATTTTTTCTAAAAAGATTGTGAAACTTATATTAAGCAGTATAAAGTCGGTTGTAGAAATTTGTCATTTTTGGGTAACTTAACTTGTGGCTGTCTGTACCTAACCTATTCCTAGGTCGCGTTGTTTCATCGATAGTAAAATTTGACTACTTATAGTTAATGCCACGCAAATACGTAGTAAATGCTTAAAATGTATAAATTTTTGACAAATGGTTATTTCTTTCTAAAGGATTTAACTATAACTAAATTTAACTATCGATGAAACAACGCGGTCTTAATCGTGTCTACTTCTACTTTTTTCACTAAGAATGGAGATTACTGTTGTTCCAATCATCCCAATAGGTTTTCTATATTAAATAAATCATAATTGTATTGACGTTGTAACAACATAATGATTTGTAAATGTTTTTACATTAGACTTTTAATGTTGTGGAGTATTTTTCACTCGTTTTTCTCCGCAGCTAAAAAATATGTCCAAAATTTTGGACGATTCAAAAGAGTTGTACTATACATCTAATTTGAATAAAGATATATTGATTTCGGATTTCTGACCTAATTATATTATAATTTATCTACATTTTCAAATCTTTTTTTACTAAACTTAAGAATCGTTATAGTTTACATCACCTCAAAATAAATGTAGTTTATTTAAGTTTTGACTAGCATTCGTAACAATAAAATTTAACAATAGACTGACTGACTGTATTCAGTTTGTAAAAAACCTCTTTAAAAATTTCCATGCTTCCGGTTTATTTTAATTAAATAAACTTATTTTTATTGTACTTTCGTGGTTTATCAAATAAATGACTTCATGTATGTTTTGATATAGCTGATGTTTGTTGCAATTTATAAGCAAAACTTATTTTTTTGGATGAAGAATTCTTCAAGTTCTTTATAATTTTCAACCAAAAATTCACTAAAATTGATATAGGACACGTAACAAACCGATAATTACAGGGAGGATATGAATAACATATTACTGAGTGTGATAAAAAAAATATGGAGTCTGAAGTTAAGTGGGAGTTAAGTCCATGGAGCAAATCAAATGTAACTTACATTAGACTATAATAACAATAGACTGACTGACTGTATTCAGTTTGTAAAAAAACCTCTTTAAAAATTTCCATGCTTCCGGTTTATTTTAATTAAATAAACTTAGTTTTATTGTACTTTCGTGGTTTATCAAATAAATGACTTCATGTATGGTTTGATATAGCTGATGTTTTGTGCAATTTATAAGCAAAACTTATTTTTTTGGACGAAGAATTCTTCAAGTTCTTTATAATTTTCAACCAAAAATTCACTAAAATTGATATAGCACACGTAACAAACCGATAATTACAGGGAGGATATGAATAACATATTACTGAGTGTGATAAAAAAAATATGGAGTCTGAAGTTAAGTGGGAGTTAAGACCATGGAGCAAATCAAATGTAAGTTACTACATGCAATAATTTAATATTAACATTTATGAAACATTTTTTTTTTGTGTAAAATTACAAAGGTTTTTGGTGTTGAGCTTAAATTGAACATAAAAATTGTGTTTTCAGTTAGCACTTATCCAAGTTTTGCTCGATTGTAGCTTTTATTGACATAGATTGAAGAGCTCGAATCACATGTCGCCCGCAGTGGATGCGTGCGTTGTTTACATTAAGTCATCTTTACGTCGAGGCCGCGGAGGCTGTGCAGGATTGGACCGGCGGCATGGCACAGTGCTGCCAACCGCGGCTCAAGATCACGAGATTGCCGTCCGTCATCTTCCTTATCATCAGCTGATACGAGACGTCTTTGACGTTCAGACGCCCGTGCTTATTGTTAAGGAGTGCATATCATTATAAAGGTATTTTTTTTTCATTACCTAAAACACGATTGATGATGTTTAATATTGTAAGTCAGTTTTATTATTAATTTCGATTTTTTTAGAATAGAACTAGTATATAATTGATAGCCTCGGTGTAAATAATATTGTCTTTTTGTTAGTTCAGAAGATATGACAAATCTGCTTGAATAGACTACAATGACTTACTGATTTATTTATAAAACAAGACCAACACTGTTTAAAAAATAATCTTGTCACTCTTTTCATAAAATTTGAGGCAAACTTATTTTTAAAGCGATCCTTGTGAAAGCTTTGGCTTCGCAGCGTGGGTAGTAGGGTAGGGTTTTCGTTGATATGCCTTAAGGTAGGTATGTTTTAATTAATTGATTGTGTGCGCCCTTTATTTTATTCATAGCTGCGGTTATAAAATTATTCCTTAGCTTAGCATTGGTAAATAATAACTTGGTGTTTGTAACCTAGCAAGACTACCAACGTTATCACTTTTAAAAAAATAACCGTCCTTGTAGTAAAAAAACCTCGTCACCCCAAGCGATTGGTGTCTGGCTGAGCAAAACTACAGAATGGAAGAGTTAACACCTATTTTAATTATCTCAATAAAAATGTGTAAAATTGAAGTAGGTAGGGGAGCAAACGCTTCAATAACCACTTTAATGATCAGATCACGAAGTCAGGCGCGGTCACATGCTCTGTGGCACCAACATTGACGAACGAAGCCGCAAAGCCAGTCGACAAGCGCACGCGCATCGCGCAAAACGTATAACGTGTTACAAAGTTTCCGACGCGCTGACATAACTATTACTGGTGCGTCTCGTTTCAAACGGATCTACTCAATAGTCATAGTCGTAAGGTCCATTTCCGATTGCGTGAGTAACTGTCGTGTGTATTGAATTTAATTGCATCTGGTTGCGATAGCGGTGAGGTGAGCTCGTACACGATACAAGCGCAGCACACAATAAAAGTGAATAAGGAATTTAAGTATGTATTCATTTGGAGAAAATAAATTGAACTCGCTCAATTAACAAAAATCGTTGTAGCTGCTGCTAATAAGCGAAAAAGTATTAAATTAAATTTATAATAGCCAAAAGATAATTGTTGCGGTAACGAAACTGAATAGCACACCTTAATTTAAATGACAAGAAAAAGTTCTTGGTTTTATTATAAATAAATATAAAAAAACACTTATCAATTAAAACTAATATTTGAATAAGTATATCTGTGTTTGTTTTGTGGTTAAATGAAATAGGTACAACAGAGTACCTGTTATGTGTTATCACAAAATAATTTCATGGGTTGGTTAAATACAAAGTTGTCAGGTGCATGCAATTTTTACTGTCAAATGGATAGTGGATAGTAGTAGATAGTTACAACTTATTATTCGGTTTTTAAACATAAACAGGAAAATATTTATACAATCTATAAGTACCTATGTGAATATTCTTACCGATACTTGCAAATATGTTTTCCTCAAAATTTTGCACATTTGAAATTTTTTGCTGGACAGAAATTTATTCTATTTACACAGACAGAAAATATTTGTTTCGATATAATTTGCCAGTATAAATTTCAGTGCACTGTCAGCCGTAGGTACATCAAGTTACTTACTACTACAAAATAAAAAAACATCACAGTCGATTAAAAGTCTTAAATCAAACAATTTAAATATCAAAATTTTGATGGAGAAATTTTTCAGTTTTGGTTAACTTTAACTGTGTTTGCCTGTACATTTACTGCTATTCTTACTTTTTTAATATTTGGCTATGGATACGGAGTCCTTATACCTGCTACCCTTTATTAATAGGATGTCCTTACCCATATGTCCTCGATATATTTTTCATAACCACTTCATATTCAATCTCGAAGTCTATAAACACTTCTCTGGCTAATTGCGATTTGTTGTTGAAATTATTTATCTATTGAACACTTTCTACGCAATCACTGGTTGGTTATCTTTTCGAGTATGGAAATAGGTTTGTGTAATATGTATTAAAGTTATCCTAACTTATTTATCTATTTATAAAATATGTTATACGTACTTCAGATTTTTATTTCATAAGACTAAAGATAACGATTTAAAAAAATATAATATAGGCATGTTTGCTATTTCCTTAAAAAACTGTTTTGTGGGTTGTGACTTGCGTTAACATAAAGAAGAAATAAAAACAAATTAATAAAAGTTGATTTTTCATACTTAGCCTGGATCTAAAGCGTTTGAAGTAATCGCTTGTGCTCTATTGAAATTATGAGAAGTAACTTATTAAGAAAAAAAAAGGAATCTCCTCTTCTTTCGCCTCTCACTATTATTAAACCGTCCTCTCATCTCCCTGTCTTTCCCACCCATTCGACCTCCCTGGCTGCATCTCGACGCGGCCTCGGATTCTGATGGGGCTACTCTACCAACTATCGAATCCTCTACATCACAATTATGTTATATTCATCAACTTAAAATGTAATAAATAAATAAGTGTTTAAAAAAAAACATACATATATAGACTGTTAAACACTATACCCTGTCTGCGCGTCGCGCTTCGCGCTGTTGCATTGCGCAGTCGGGTAATAACTATGTTAAGTAATCAATTTACCCTCAAATGAGAAGGCCGCCTACACTTTACATGTAAATTTTAAGTCATTGTCATTGTTTGTAAAGCTGGGTTTTCTATTGTAAATAATACCTTAAAATATTCTCTGTTTCCCAACATAAAAGTCACGTGCTCTGATGATTTAATATTTTAAGTCGACAAATAAAGCCCTTTAGAATTATTGATAACGCATCTCTGGTATAGCTAACCTCCACGTCAAGTGGTTTAATATCTGACAAGTTCATATTGATTGAGATAAAAGTACTGCCTACTTGAGGTTTTTGAATAAGTACCTATCTGTGTTGGTCCATCTGATCTGACATTTAGAATTGATATATATTTATGTATTTCCAAAGTACTTAAATTGACCATAGACTAGGAAGCCTGCGCAGTAGCATTTTATATATATAAAAAATGATAAATTTAAAAAATCAGAAAACCCGACTGCTAAATTATTACTTAAAATAAAAACTGAAAATAAAAAAAAAAGTCCAGTAGTCTATAATTCTACGGGACCCATTATATGTGTATATTCTAGAATGGATATTTTTTTCCATTATTTGGAACCTAATTCGGGACAAATAATTGTTTGTCCCGAATGTTAAAGTACCTTTGTTCCTTACTTAACAGAATTATAGACTAAGTACAGGACTTGCTTTTTATTTTCAGTTTTTATTTGAAGTAATAGGTATTTTAGCAGTCGGGTTTTTTGATTTTTTAAATTTATCATATTTATTTCACACTTTTTAGTTAGAATTATAAATAAGACGGCATATACCGCAGTCTTGTCACTTCAGTAAGGGAATTAATATCGCGGGAATTATTAAGTACCTTGCGGTGGTCTAAACGATTGATTTATTAGGACATAGAGACCTTACCTTATCACCTATATATCTATAAGTACATAGTAAAATATTTTCAAAAATTAATCTACAGCTTATGTTCTTTTTTTGGTAGTTTAGAAGTAAATATAAAATTCATTTACTTTTATTCGTCGACTATCTAAAATTGGCAGTGATTGTATTGTCATGTCAACGTCCGGCTCTAAGATTATGATAAACACAAATACAGTGTCATATCCTAGACTCATAATTTGATATACCTACATAATTCATAGAAACCAAATATGTAGACGCCAGAGGTTATCTTCAAATATTGTTAATCACCCTATATACAATACCAACATTACCAATCAATGACTTTAATGTCGCAGGTTGACGAAAGCAATAATTCCCGTCTGTTGTTTTGGACACTGGTGGTAACTGCCTTAGATCGATAAATTAAATAATTATACAATCATCAAAGCAAAGTTTATAATATTTGATTAAACTAAAAGCTCAGAATAAAATGTTCATAGCGTTAGTAATGTATAGATTTACATCTTTGTCTTCATAAAGCGTTCACCAGTTACGGATCGCAGACTTTTTGGTCTACCCATTTTTTTGGTAGTGTAAAGCTCAAATGAAGAATACTTCCTCCTATCAATCGGGCTGCTACCAGTCTAGTAGGTATTATAAATGGTGCAATCATAGCAATTATTTTCCACATATTTTTTCTAAATATAGACAAAATAAGAATAAGTATGTATAAATTACCGAATAACAAATCACTGTTTATCAAAAATGGTAAGTAACTTTAGCCTACCTATTACTTACTTTTTTTTTAAATCTTTTTCGTCAATTAAATTTTATTATCCTATCTATACTAATATCATAAAGGGGCAAGAGTTGTATGTTTGTAACAAATAATAGTATGTCAAACTCCTGAACCGATTTCGAAAATTCATTCATCATAAGGTAGCTATTTATTAGTACTTATATTTTCAAGCATTCATCTCAATATCGTTGATTAATCTGCTCGATTTATAAATCTAAAGAAAACTTTTAGCTGAAAAATATCCACTCTGGCAACTTCTCTGAAAGGAGTGTGACATTGGCTATATTTTATCCCGTTAAAATTATTAAATCCGTGCAATGCCGGGGCACGGTAATAATAAAAATATTACCGTGGCCGGGGTGGATCACTAGTCAGTATAATATAATATTATAGATGTGAAAGTGAGCTTGTATGACGCTTCTGCGCCCTAATAGCTAATTCGCATGGACGTATTTATAAGTCCATGGCTAATTCGATTATGACGAATTTCCCTATAGAAATGGATGGGCCTTGGTTCTAAGCTACAATATCGCAATACTTATAGGCGTAGGGTGATGGAAGGGGTGATTTACCTATAAAATTTTATATTATTTACTTTGAATTTTGCAGAATTATCATTTATAATTACAAAACCAACATTATCGCGAACTAATTAATAAATACAGGGAGTCTATTAAATATGTATCTACCTACTAGCGAAAAATAGGTTATTTCTCATTATGTTAAGTAACCCTTTTTTTGTAACATGAAGTAATATCGTTATCATAAGCTTTAAAAACAGTATAATTCTGAGTTTTTCATTAAATTACAATAATCATAAAGACCTATTATGATAAAGATTTATTTTTCGTCATTTAATAAGAAAGAACTGTATCACAGTTTTATTGTAAGTACCTACTTCGTATAGGATTAGATATTGCGAGTAGCCCATTTTTTTTTCTTTTTGCCTATGTTTTATCTATCGTTTATAACACCGCAATTAAATTTCTTTTTCCACAATTCCCGTAGTACTCTTGCATAGTACACCGCGCTAACACTTTTTCATCGTTGTAACTTTTTAAATATTTGTCGAAATGACAAATAACAAGTATAAAAGGCAAACTTTATCGTTTTTAAATATCAAAAGCGATAAAAGTATTTGTTTTGATAAAAATAATTTGTTAATACAAAATGTGCATTTTGGAAATGGATATCATATAATATTTTATTTTTATACACTATTTTAGCAAAAATGGCTTTTAGCGATAAGACCGCCTATTGAAGCACTCTTTTTATACAATTGTAATTTTCCTCATTTCTGTTCTGTGTTGTGGCGTTTTCAATAAAGTATTGTGTAATGAGCATGAAAGTTAAAAAAATATATGTATCACAATATCTTTTAATTCTTTTTGTTGATTCTACTCATCGTGTGGCTGAATTACGAAAAGACACGTTGTCGGCATAAGGTGGACAAACGAGTTTTTATTCGGACCTAAAACAAGATGGATGCATTGGTGCGCTTCTCTGGCCTAAGATATTTTCAACATTCTTCTCCAACACCACATCACAAATGCATCAATCCTTTGTAGTCCAGTCGGAATAAACATGAGACCTATTCTAAGACACCAGCGTTTAGCCAATTTTTTCCTAGA